TCATCTTTACATTTAAACATGTGACGCTAAAAACCAAATCCCCATATTTCTATTTCAAAAATATTTCCATTTCAACACCAATACATTGCACATGTTTTGTCTTCCAGCTGTAAGAGTAAAACTTGCCATTAGGTTAAGCAAGAACATGTCAGGAATTGGCAGGTACAACTGATACATAAAAGGCAGCCCATGAAATTTGGAAAAAAATGGGTCAGCAAAAACTAGGCAATTTTTTATTTCTTAGGCCTATATCATAAACTAGGATTTTTCCGAACGCTTGATTTACTTATCTACAGATCGTGATTTTGTTTGATTAGGCCTATCTTTAGTAAATCAATATATTGTTGGTGAAAGAATGGTTGTACTTTTATTATTTTAATAGTGTAGTATAATATATGTTTTACAAAAGAAAATCGCTGAAGAAATGTTGTTTTAGCGTTCGTTTTAGCGTTATCTTTAGCATGGGAAATATTACTTTCATAAAAGCTATGATCGTATCAACACAAGATGTCTGTGCTTCAAAACTGCTCATGTACGTTCATGTGCATGCCCACAACAATCTATCTGGGATTTTCCACACATGTACTTGACAGCAGGGTTGCCATTTGGCTTTTTTGACGGCCAGATTCCTGAAATCTGGCCTTATAAAGCCTGGCTGTAACGTTTGAAAAGTCACAGCCAAACTATATTTGGCCGAATTTTGTGAAAATTTTACAGTTACATTTTTTCAATATAGGCCTAATATAACGTAGCCTTGTTTTGGATATGTTGTTAAATTTGTACAAAAGGTTTGATTCTAATCGTGTACCTGTACATTGAACGTTCGTAGTCGTACTCGGAATAAACACTTGCTTTATGTCCCCCCCTTTGGCAAAGTTGACGCAAGAGAGTTTATTATTTAAAAGATTAGCAATTACATTTAATAATTTTTTAACTGTTCGGACGAAATATGTATTTTTTATGATGTTTATTCTCATTTAAACTTTATGAAGACAGTTTATTGCTAGTTTCTACCATATATATACAATATTGTGTTTCTTTGTATATGTTCCTCTCTTTTGGTTGAGAATTGAATAAAATAAAATAAATTGTTCTCATGACCAAAACAACTCTACTCCCTAGGCCTCATAATGAGACTTAGCCAGTGTATAGCAGCTTACGTGTGTGGGTGTGTGTGGGTGTGTGTGGGTGTGTGTGTCTTGTTACGGGATTGAATTGAAGAACTCTATTAAACTATATCATTTTGAATTATGCAAACATTTATATTATCAAAATTATACAATTTACTACTCAATATTTTTAGAATATGTGTTTTATTATATAATAAATAGACATATATATTTAATCTTCATTTCTATCTTATTTTATCAGAATATTTTTTTCTTTAACAAAATTATAATGGTCATTTGGAATTTAAAATACTTAGAAAATCGCTTATATAGTTTTGTTCATTGTTTTGTCATATTAATCATATTAATGACATAAATTTCTCCAATTATATTACCCTGTTATTTATATGAATTTTCAATTAAAAACTAATCTTATGAAAACTTTTACAATTTATTTTAATTTATTTTAAAACAATTTAATAAGTTTTTTCACTCACCATTCAGCAGAATTAACAAGCATGAAACAAGAAAGCAGCATTATAGCCATTGAGCTGAGCAGGATGAGTACACAGGTTTGCTGAGATCTTCAGAAGTGCATATGTTCAGCCTTCTACAGAATTTTTACTGAAATAAAATACATACATTCATCAAATAACCAGAAATAAATACAAATTATATATTAATATATATTTATACAAACATAATATCATTAACTTTTAATGCAAAATTCTGAATAGTATTGCTTGCACGTTATCTCCTTACGTTTTACATGTACAGTATCCACCGCGCATTCAAAATACTTTACGGTATGCCAGCTCATACCAAGGTTGTTTTCTTTCCCATATTCCTGACTGTAAAATAAGGCTTGGATGGTGGAACAAATTGAGCCTGGAAATCCAAACACACATTTTGGAAAATAAGGGTTGTCTTCTGCGCAGTTTTTGTTGAATGGCCTATATAAGGCAATACTTAATTAATAGCTTTTAATGTACCTAAATACCTAATTTTTTAAGCATTCAGCAGCAGGCAGAAAAAAAATAATACTACTACTTTTTTATTCAACAGAATTGTCCTGCCAAAAGTACCTAAGTTATTTGCGAATAAAATTTTAGGAAATGGAATTGAAAGAGAGGCAGACAAAATTGTGCTAGCACAACTCGTGTGTGTGTGTTGTGATCAATTGTAGGCCTACACACTCTTGATTGTGTTGTAAGTTGGCTTCGTTCTTTTAAATGCTTTTATTTAATTAATTGTAAAAAAAATATATATTCATATTTCTTTCTGGTAAAATTATACAGCCAGTGGGCAGAATAAAAATAAAAATTCATTTTTTTCTTAATTTCCCAATTATGTATTTATAGCAGCAGGTGTGCTAGCTGGTCAAAAATACAATTTTATTTTTAATTCAAATCTTTATTTTCGGCTGGTGGCAGGTTCCTTAAACAAGGTATCAAAAGGTATTGCCTAAAGTAGTATATTACATGCCTGACGGAATGTTTTTCAAAGTGACTAGGGCCCACTAGCGAGGGAGAACTTGCGCAATCGAGCAGCTCATGGGTGCAGTCCTGGGGGCCCCAGTAGGGGTCCAGGACCCCAGAGCCCCCGGAAGGCTCTAGGGTTTTAGAAAGTTCTTCACTAGCCCCTTCTATTTCGAATCTACTGCTATAAAATAAAATGGGAGGGGCTGAGAACAGATTGGAACTAGCCCCCAGCTTGAAAAGTTTGAATACCTGGATTTTGTTAACCATTAACAATGGAGAGGGTTAGAAATAACACCTTAAAGCGAAAATACTGCCGCTAAGGGGAAATTTTAACAATGTTAAGGAGAAATATAGACAATG